TCAGCTTGATCACTTGCTAGTGAATTCCTGGAGTGAATTATTGGGAAGCATTCTGAAAAGAAAGGAAAGTTATGAAAACCAAAGTCATGTAAATTATTAATGTTGTGTGCCATTGACATCAGATAATGGTGACTAGCACACCACACTTTATCTAGAGATAGTCTTAGGCACAAATAGAAGGAAATGATCCAGTTGAAGAAGTGCTTGAAAATCATGAAATGTCTTCAAAATCCTGAACTGAATTGGGCTTTCAATGAATCAATTCATTGTTTATGTAGGAGAAGCATTAATGGTGACTTTTCTACCTCTATACCTACCACATAACAAGCATGAATTGTGTTGAGATTATTTTTAATTCATCATTTGATAAATGAGAACAAAAATCCATAAAGACAATAATGTGTACTTCTGATTTTTCTCCTGGTCACTGAAGGAAATACTGTGAGGTAAGCAGTAGCTCAGGGCTCCATTTGTAGAAGTAGTTATGTTAGGTCTTATTACCCTATCTACTGATGGGAAACTCCCGCTGAAAGATATTAAGTTCAAGCAAACAACAGATGCTTGATCTTCTCTGTGACACAGGAATTCTGTCCTCAGATTCAAGTTCTTTCTCCCCCATGAACAGGAAATGAGTGGGACTTTTTCACTTCCAACAATGACCTCCCGCAAGGGGTGACCTTGTTCAAGTCTCTGTGCAGCTGCAAGGAGTGAAGCTTCTGATTTTGTTCATGTATGAAGAAGACACCCTGAGAAGGAAAGGGCAAATGAGGTCAAATCAGAAGTGATCTCCCAACCACCTACATGAGGGAATTGGCAACAACCATGTAGGTAAGGAAAAGAAACAACATATTGGGTACCAGCCAGAGTCTTGAGGATTTATTAATCATTTGCCAATTATTCATACCATGTGACCCAGTCTGATGCAGTGTGTCTCCTCAGTGTATGTGTTTCAGATTCACAGGACCTTCGTGTAGAGCAGAGGTCTCATACACATCTTACCTGCTTATCTCCCAGGACTATGAAGTTCACATTTAAAGATCTAGAGCTGTTGCTCCTGACAAAATGCACTCATTCTCTCACCTATAAAACCAGCTTCCCTATACAGCAGGGCTTTCCCATGAGACAACTAGTTAATTCCTTCAGTTCATGGTGTCACTTTCCACAGGTAGCCACAGCTTCGCAGGATGACTGTATCCTCACCTGTGTGAGTGAAATAGCACATATACCTGTATGTAAGTGTGTGAAATTTTCTCTCTATATATGCATATATACGTGCATTTGTTAAAATAGGTAAATCAAAGTATAATAGGATTTCTTATAAGAATTAAAATAATCTGATTTTATGCTTGTCATTTAGATTAAACAGAAAAATTTAGACTAAATTTTTAAAATTTTAAATGTTAATGAAATTAATAAATATACATTTGTGTACAACTAATATCTGCTCTTGGGCTTCCTTCAGAAAGTTCATTTTATGAATGAATCATAATTAATATGTCCACTGACATCACACTTTTTATAAATCATACCTATTCTCATTGTAATTATACTCCTTCACTCACGGAAAAGTTTTAGAAAACATTAGTTTATTATTCCACAATCATTCCCATATTTTTACTCTATACCATTAACCCTGGCGCTAAAAATATATTTCAAAAGTGAATTGCTATGGAAAGTTTTATATTGGAAGATATTACAGTGTGAAATGTAATAGTAAATGATCTAAAATATTCAAAAATAGAAAGATGCTATTGCAAATAAGAATTTTACAAATTACATCACTACTGTTATGAAGCAAACAGTATTATGCAGATTTAGAAAGTGAAGCATTT